ATCATATCTATACTTTACTTTATAACAAATGTATTGTTCTCTCACCTAGCTGTGACAAAACTCTTTACAACAAATAGTTTATTTCGTCTCATAGATTGTCTCATTAATAAAGAAACTCGCTTTTATTTAACTATTCCTAGCTAAAATGCTGATTCTAATACAGTTTTGAATGTACGATGTAAACCTGTCTTTAAAGAAAACCTTATTACTTTTATTTCATTTATCTTTCAACTTTAATCAACTTCTGATTCGAAGTGACACCTAAATTGGCCCCACATTATACTGAATAAGGTTTACTTTAAGTTGACTCTTGATTTTAGCTAAATATTCGATGCACCATCCCTTGATATCATAGCATACTTGCTTAACTTTCCCTTTACATATCGTAACTATTTTCAGAATGCGAAATAAATATGTGGGCCGACTTCAATCCTAGCTACTTTTGACTTTTATTTTCTATTCTAATGTGACATCAAATTATTTGGTTGCCTACTTCATGCCTCTTAATGCTTGTCTGAAGATGAGCGAATTCTTTACAAGTGTAGCAGAACATCAATTTCCTTTCGTAAATAACCGCTCTTGTGTTAATGCAATATTAAGGCGTATTTTGGTGTGTGGTTGTGTGCATGCTGTATGTAGGAACTTTTCATGATCTATTTTAGCACGAAGCAGACTAAATGATTACAACTTTTGCTTTGATTCATCCTACATTTTTTTTAATTCTATAAAACAAGAACAGGTATTTGTAAAAAAAATACCAACACTCGCTCACTTTATTCAAGATTTTTTATTATTCCTACCTTTTATCCATTACCTAATTTTCAAAGGTCTGCAGCTCAAAAACTCTACTTAATTTATTTTACTTGGACTGAGTCATGCCAGGTAAGATTTCTTGATCCATAAATCATTGTAGGCAGTCATGGGTCCAGATTTTTATTAAATATCAATTACCAGATTTTAGTATATGAGCGTAAAAGTTATAAAAAGTGCTCCAGACAGAGGGTCAGAATATTCCAGAGGAGAAGACTCAGCGAAAATAAAATTTAAATCTTCATATAAAATTAAAAACATCTCCTTCCTTAGTAGTTCGACAAACTTTTTCAAAAACCAAAATGATAGCAACTCTAGGCGCTGAGTAGAGCTTTCCAAACACCTGACCTGCACCTAACTATCCATTTCGCCTGGTCCCATTTATTATTATTATTACGAAATGACATTCAAGTAGATACATTTGACAAACATCTTGAACTAAAAGAGTTTTTAGTTAGTTAATTCGACCACCTCAGTACTGTCGATTTCATAACCAAAATTTCAATCATGTAAGTGTAATAAGAGAATGAATTAGGAATAGAACGGGCATGTGTTTATTTTAAATACTCATACCTACCCAATTTGATTATTATTTTACCAATTTCACATCCATCTCCTTCCAATGGAATCAGTTTCATCTATATTTTGTTAATAAAGTTCTTAATAGTGTTTTTGGCATATTATAAAGCAGCAAAGTATTCGCCCATATATCTAGACTACAGTTTAGGAGGTTATAGTGAGTTTTGAAATTAAAAGGTAAATATACTCACTAAAATGCTTGCATCTCAGCTTTGTATACTAACCTAGTAATTACGTTAATACTTGCGTTACTCTATTCACCAAAACGATTGTGGTAGTCAAAAATAAACCCAAATTGAATAATCCGACCTTTGTGTCTCATCATTTGAACACCTCCTGTATGTAATTAGAACTTAGCACAAAAATATTATGATGGTTGATTTAATTCTTAGTTAAAATAAGTGGTGCCTTTTACTAAAGCACATTTAATTCCCACGTTTCCACTTCTTCTTTACATACTTTTAGATACTCGCTAAATTAAACTAAGAAGGAAAAAGTGCTTAAATAAGATTCTAGAATAAGAAGTTAAAAATAATTTTAGAAAAGTCCTTATGTGCATTCTTTTTTTGATATTATTAAAAAAATTTTCCTGTTTTTTATAGGATTTTAATAAATATATACATTATAGAAATAACATGATAGGGATATCTGCTAATGTAAAACATTTTGTGTGTGTACATTTCTATAAAAAACGATTAATACAAAAAATGATATTATTGACTAAATATAGGCTAATATATGACATCTAAATGCCACTTCCAACAAAATATAGAGAAGTTAAAGAGAACTGATTCCTGATTCTATGGTCTCTTTATTTGAAAGCGGAGCATATAATGGAATTCGTATTTATAAAATAAATAATTTATTAAAAATATTTTAGAGCAACTACTGAATAACTTGTTAATTTTAGGCATATGGATTACGTTAAATTTAACTTGCAAATGCATGCCTAGTATATCAGATGATTTCGCTTTAAAATAGATATAATTTATCAAATGATAAATAAAAAAATCCGTAAATTTACATTTATTAGCTATTTAAGGGTTGAATGAATCCTCACTTTAATCATAAAAAGTGCTCCATATTCTTAACAAGATAAAATCTTATAAAAGCTTAATAAGAAAGTTTACCTTATTTGTACGGTCAGAATTATTATAAATTGAAATTAAAATGTATCTAGTACAATAAACTATAAACTTAATTAATTCATTACACTGAAACGTTACAATTTGTACCAATTAAACTTGCTTATGGATGGATTATACTTGTCTCTGACGGGTTTTAAATAATAAGTATAATCTATCAGGCCAGGAAAATGCTTGATACTGCACAAATTTCGCATCCGACGCTGGAAATTGTCATGTCTACTATGAAAGATAATTAAAAATAGTCTGTGCTATTCATGTCATCTTGACAATAGGGTTAACCACAACCCTTTAAAAATATATATTTGTAATAAAGAAAGTCCGTGACTAAAATGTTGCCTACTTTATTGTAAACTTCATATTTTCGATTATGTGACTTATATTTGAAAATATCTCGGTAAAAATGAAATTTTTTTTCAAATTTATGGTAAAACTAGTAAAATAGTAAAACTAGTATAGATAAAGCATATTTAATGTATATTTGCTACGAATAAACTTTAGAATAATTGTTATTTGATATCGTATAAAAGACCACCTCCGAATGATACCGAAAGAGGAAAATGTAAAAGAATTTATAAAAGTTATGTATTAATAAATAGTTTCGAAACAAAAATATTTATCTTAAAAAGTTATATAACTTACTTTCAGGGCAAGGAGAATCAAGCATACATGTCAGAGTTAAAAACTAGGCTTTAAAAGGAAAATGTTTAGCGTTGTAATATGTAGAGTAGCAAATTATTCCTCGATAACTATAAAAAAATGATATTATATCTACATACTTTGAAAAATGGCATTACTCTAAGGAAGAAATTCAAAATGCGATCCCATCAAAAGGCAAATGCGAATGTTTTAGGCAAGCTGCCGATTGGATTTACTGGAGCAGTCCCCGAGGCGATTTCCGGGAATAATCTTATTATTCTTTCACCCGTCATATAATGGGAATCATCTGAGCTGGGCATTCTTCTTCAAAATGTATTCCAGTAAAGCTCACTGGCCCATCGATAAATGCTGCACATATTTATGCTTTGCGATGAGGTATGAAGCAATTTGGCTAGTTCAAGTTGTGGGTTTTGTGCAAATTTGGTTATGGGCATGCTTGTGCTCATATTCCTTCAAAACCAGCAGTCATAGTTTAAATTAATGTCTATTCTTAGTTATTAAGCTTTAATGAACCATCTCATCCAATTGCTTTATATTGCAGCAATCTCTCTAATCGAATAATGTCGGGCACACGTCTGGTTAAGTTGCCAAGATTTATATCTTCTTTTAAGAAAATAAGGGTTAACTTAAAGGTATAGAAGTGACTGTAATTAGAACCTGGACAATAAAAGACTAGTTTAATCGTCTACTTTCTCTTGGTGACTTGATACCATTTCTATCCTATGGTATATCAACCAAACAAAATTATTGCTTATTTTGATGTAGACATACCATTAACAGCAAAATGACAAATTTGAGTCAATTTACCTTCATGCACAGCTTCAGCCAAGTGATACGTTACCTCTGATTTTCGGACCCAACAGCCCCTTAGGCTCATTTGTAATCAGCCACCATTTGTAAAATGGGTCAGTAAGTCGCTCAAACAGAAGGCAAGCACATCAACACATTAGTTTGTATAGCATAATTTGGATGCTATGTCAACTTTATCTCTAAGCGCAGGAATAACTAAAGAAAATCGTTAATATTACCCTGAATAAATCGGAAATGAGATTGAGATGTCTCAACTTTGTCGTTTTACTTGAACAGATTTTTGCCCGATCTTAAGTAATTGGAATAATGGTCATTGAATCTTGATGATCGAGAATAGACGATACGCTCTTTTCTAGTTACTTTGAGCTACCATTGCCTGAATCGAAGATCGACTCGGGAACCGCCTCAGCAAGAATCTTCCAATAAAGAAAATCTAAAGATATCCATGAGAAATATACAGTCGCCTTCTGTTGTAAACAACCTTCGAGTTGGACGGAGCTGAGCAAATAGATCTTTACATATTTACATAAGCAGTACGTTTGTTATGGTCTTAAAATCGTTAGAACATACTTTTGAAACTATATTTCCTATGCTAGGCAGCTTTATATAGCAAGAAAATTATAGTAGTACCTTCTTTAGAAGGAAAAGTATTTACTTTATTAAGTTTATAAATAAACATTAAATAAGTCATGAATATGTTTAATTAAATATTAATTTTGCATATCAAGATCTGCTAAATGAATGGCACAAGAACTTTGGGGATAAAAGGGAATTAAAAAAAAAGTTTTTTCTAACTTTCAGCCTAAGCTATTTTAAAAAGAATCGGCACCAGCCTGATGATATTACATGATTCACACAGCATCACATTGGGAATTATATTTTGCGTTTCGTCACGCAAAGTCAAATTATCGTAAAGCATGAAGAGGCAAGGGAATTATTTATTTTCTTTATATATTATTTGAATGCAATAAATTAAGAGGGATTTATTATAAAAATCTACCGACAGCTTACGTATAAAGTCTGCACATTAGTAGTAAGGACCTGCTCATTTTCATTTAAATCTAGAATTTGTATCAAACTCATTCCGAAAGACACTGTAATCTGCCGAACAAAGTTTTTCGAAATAAATATCTTCGGTGACATTGCGTCGACAACAGGCCTTGCACGCGGATCATAGTCATGTAGTAGATGCTTGATTAAGAGCTTCTCAGCGTACTTTCCACGCTCTTCTGCCGGGACACTGCGCCTACTATCTTCTCCACCATAGGGCTCTTCGGACTGCATATTTCCATATTCGGAGTACGCTGCCGAGGCAGGATCATCCGCCATCATATCAAATTCTGTGGGCAGTTTTGTAGATATATTTAACTGATGTTTCCACTTAGATTGACTGTTGCTTTTCTTGTTAGAATTCGGTCTAGAGCTATTGTCGATGAGTTTCCATGGTAGCAAATTAGCTACAAAACTTCTTTCCTGTGAAATTTCACCTTCAGCCCAGTCAAGCTGGTTATCAACTTGATGGATACTTTTACTTTTGTTTATAGTTTTATTTGTATTTATTAGGGCCTTGACTTGTACAACATTTTT